AGTTTTCTTCAATAATTTCAAACTCACCAAAAGTTTCAGCCTTTGCATATCTTCTTTTTTCCCACATTTTGTCTCGTAACTATAAAGTTCTCATATGAAAGACATTTTCATAGTCAAAGAATCCAATTAAAAAGTACATGCAAACGTATTATTAGTTATATTACTATTAGATGGTCCAAAAAATTTCACTATCAACATATAAGGACAATTTGGTCAATTTAGCATCTACCTGCCATTAACTCCAGTCTGCCCTTGTCCCCTTCCAAGTGTCGGAAGCCCAGCGTCGGTGACCCTTGTTTTCATAAATAGCTCCCAGGGGCATTTTCGTCCATTCACCCACACCCTATATTTAAAACTCTATATTACCTCAACTAAAAAATTTCAGATGAACTCGAGTATTAAAAGCTCGAACTCTAGCTCGAGTCTTTTATCAAATTGAACTGAGTTTTAACTCATTAGCTAAATTGAGTTGATAGAAGAGTTCGAACTCGATACAATTATTAATATTAATGAATCGAACTCGAGTTTTAACGAATTAAATTTTGATAAAATTGTGAAAAATTACGTAAAATATTATGTTCTAGACCTCAGTTCTACTTATTAATTAAATAAATTCGAGCTCGACTCGTTATTGAACAAACACTGTTGAGCTCAAAGTTTTAAAGAGATGAACCAAGTCGAGCTAAATTCACGAACAATTTGCTTAGTTTTATATTTTTATACCTAACAACCACTTGATGGCCAAAATTTCAATACAACTATTTGGAGGGTGGTAAAATCTTCCTACCTCTTCTCATAATGGCAAGCGTTAAGATAATTTGGATGTATAATTTTGTCCAATTATTGGTACCTCATAGAAATTATTCAAATCATTGACCTAATTATGAGTTAGAAAAGAATAACTTGAACTTAATTTTTGATTTGAACCAAGTTATGATGCATGAATAAGTAGCATCCGTTGGTCCGTACAATTTATGTTTACATATTTTTTATGTAACTATAGTAAGTATTGCATAATTATCACAAATATTACTATTAACGACCTTAGTCAATTATATCCTTTTACAAAAAATGAATATTTACAATATAAGATGTCATAATTTTGTTTGTATATATTTTAAAGTATCAGTTGAATATGAATTATGTGTATTTGGTGGAATATTATAAATAAATTGAATTAAATTATTGATAAGTAATTATCTTTATATAAACACCAATACACCATCATAACAAAACCTTTTATATGTTAACCAATTAAATCCCCGTTAATTAAACATACTTGTCAATTACTTTATTTGTTCTGCTCCAAAACTCTCTCTCTCTCTCTCTCTGCTCTCTCTCTCTCTCCACACCACTGAAGCTTCGAATCTCGGGAGAGTGCTTTTGGCGATGGTGACACCTAAGGCGGCGCATTCTCCTTCTCAATACCTTTTTCCGACGGCCGTTTAGGCTAATCGGTGCTCTTTCACGTACTAAGGCCTAACCTGAGCCACCGTATACCTCGGCAATGGAGGGCCGAGCGGCGGCCTGCTCTTCTCTGTTTGTGGCTATTGCGACGTTGATCGCCGGTTTCTTTGCGGCGGTGGATGCTACTACTGATCCTAATGACGGTGAAGATTTATGATTTTTTTTTTTTTTAATTTTAGTTTATTGAATCTTTGCTCTTTTTGTTGGCTGCTGTTTTCTGGATTTGATTGGTCAGCTGCTAGGTGTTGAAGAAAAAATGAGATTCGTGAAAAAATGGCTGGCTTTTTAGTATCAACCGGTTGGTTTAAAGAGCTCGTGATTTTCATTTTAGCTTAAAGAATAAATTTATATCTTGGCAAAATTTTGTTTTGAGAAAATTTTCGGCTTCTTCCATGTGGGTGCTGAGAGACGATGAATTTGGAACGTTAGTGTGTATATTGGGGAAAAAATTAATCTTTTAGCTATTTTTGGAGTAATTTTCGGTCAGAATGTGTGAAGAAAATAATTCCATCAAGCAATGATGATATTGCTTTACTTCCAAAACTATCAATAATTTTTTTAACCAACTGTTAATGTATGTAATTTTTATTTTGAGATGCACTTCCTTTTGCTCGCACAGTTCATCTAGATTTCAGATATGCTTTATCTTGTGTCCTGAATATGCAAGCTTTTATCTGTTCTCGTTCGATGGAAATAGCTTATTTCAGATAATATGTAATAGGATCTGTGAGTTTCAGCAATCACAATATTTTTTTTATAAGGAAATTCATTGCTCAAAGAAAAAAAAATATAAATAAATAAATTACGACATTTTCAGCTGCGCGGAACAGTATTTGACCGGGGATGAGTGCAACATGGGTGTGTTTTCATGTTGACTCTTGATAATGAAGCAAATTTGTGATTGCTTGTTGATTGTTAATGATTTGAATTTGTGCCTCATGTATTGAGATTGACTGCCTTAAAAGATTTTTCAATTGAGTCCCTAATGGTACTCGTTTTCTGCAGTTCAAGGGCTCCAGGTACTTTACACTTCACTAAATAGTCCTCCACAGCTAACTGGCTGGAAATCAAGTGGTGGTGATCCGTGTGGAGAGTCATGGAGTGGGATCACCTGTCAAGGTTCTTCTGTTGTCTCTATGTAGGTGTTAATATACTGGATTTTTTCTTAAAAAAATTATATATATTATGTATATTATGTTATTAGTTTCATATATTTTTTGGACCATGTGAAACGTCTTCTTGAAACAGCCAGTTATCTGGAATGGGACTCAATGGAACAATGGGATATTTGCTAAACAAACTTGCTTCAGTTACAACATTGTAAGAACGTGTTTTTTTTTTCAGTATGATAGATTGTCATGTTTATCTACTTTCTTCCTTTATGATAAATATTTTTTTTTTTACTTTTTTTTTTCTTTTTTTCTGCAGAGACATGAGTAACAACAATATTCACGATTCAATTCCATATCAGTTGCCACCAAACCTCACAAGCTTGTAACGTTTCATTTTTATGTTGACCCTCGATCTCTCGTGGTACCTAGTACTTTTTCTCTAAATGGTCAGTTTTCTTATGTCCTGCTATCTATCTGGGTGCAGAAATGTTGCGGGAAACAATTTAAGTGGAAATATTCCTTATTCTTTATCCAATATGGGCTCCCTTAATTACCTGTAAGTGGCATTTTTTCGCTAGTACATTAAGAAAACTCTTTCTGTTTTCTCTTCTAGGCAATTAGGCCATTTTTTTCTGATGCGTTGACCTATTATTCATGGTTTTAGGAACATCAGCCGAAACATAATGTCTCAATCAATTGGAGATATGTTCGCCAACCATTCTGCTTTAGCCACCTTGTGAGCCACTCAGCCTTCTGTGTGTGTGTGTGTTCAATTCTTCTAAATTGCTGCCACTTCCTTTTTAGATTTGCACAGCTTACTTCTGAATTCGATCATTTTGAAAGCGTGAACTTATAAAATATAATATAAGGCATTTCAATTTTCAGGGATATATCCTTCAACAGTTTTGCTGGAGATCTCCCGCCTTCCTTCACGTCACTGACTAATCTCTCAACCCTGTGAGTTTTGTTTGACAATTTAATTGTTCTCCATGCTTTTTTCCTCTTTGCTTCCATTTTACAATTCCAACTTGCTATTGACTTCATTTGTATCAATTTTTTTTGCAGTCTAGCACAGAACAATCAACTTACAGGTTCTCTCGGTGTCCTCGTCGGTTTGCCTTTGACAACTTTGTAAGCATTATTATCTCCACAATTAGTTCCATTTAACTTAACCAAATATGTGAATAGGCTAATAATGCTTTTAACCAAATTCTGCAGAAATGTCGCAAACAACCATTTCAGTGGCTGGATACCTCAAGAACTAATTACAATTCCGAACTTCGTGTAAGTTATGAAAAGAAAAAGAAGTAATTTCATATTTATTAATAATCTTACATTTTAACAAAATGTTTCACATTTTTTTCCATTTAAACCAGATACAATGGGAACACATTTTCTAATGGTCCTGCTCCACCTCCCCCACCTTACACTGCACCTCCTCCCGGTAGATCACGCAATAATAACGGGACACAATCTTCTCCTCCTCGAGCTCATAATCCTAATGCCAATGTCCCTATAAATTCGCATAACGAGCGTAAGAATGGGTTGACAGCTGGCGCTATAGTTGGAATAGTTATCGGATGTGGAGTTGGAGCAATACTTTTGCTGCTTGCACTTGTGTTTTGCCTTAGGAAGGGTAACAAGAAGGAAGTTGCTGCTCGACTCTCGATAGGAAGTCAAACTGCAAGCATTGATAATGGTATTTAAAATATTTGCATCTTTGTTATGTGCACTTTCCTCTAATCGAAATGATTGTAGCGTAATTTGGAACATGACTTTTTTTCGTATTACAGTTGGCACTTTATTCATTTTCACCTCATTCTTACATTTTCGGGCATTATTTCTAGTGAGCATGGAGATGCAAACACAAAGGTCAAAGCCGCCTTCATCTGCAGCATCTGATCACTTGAAGTTTCCACCAGTCGAAAGTGTTGCAACAATCGAAAGGTTACAAGGGAAAAAAAGCGGATCTTTGAAAAGGGTGAAATCTCCACTAACTGCTACTTCATACACAGTTGCTGCTCTTCAAACCGCGACTAATAGCTTTAGCCAAGAGAATCTAGTCGGTGAAGGCTCTCTCGGTCGTGTCTATAGAGCCGAATTCCCCAATGGAAAGGTAAAAAAAAAAGAGATCGTTTAATATTTTCATTACCTTTTTTTTTCTCGATGACAATATAATTTGACAGTGCTTTGCTGTATATATATATATACATGTATTATTCAGATACTTGCCGTAAAAAAAGTCGACAATTCGGCATTGTCACTTCAGGAAGAAGATGATTTTCTCGAAGCTGTTTCGAACATGTCACGGTTAAGGCATCCAAATATTGTACCTTTGGTAGGGTACTGTGCCGAGCACGGACAGCGCCTTCTTGTACATGATTATGTTGGTAATGGCTGCTTGCACGATATGCTTCACTTTGCTGACGATAGGAGTAGGATGCTGACGTGGAACTCTCGAGTCAGAGTAGCACTCGGGACTGCTCGAGCTTTGGAGTACGTGGAGTGGAATTATTTTTGAATGTGTTTGAAAGCTTCGATAATTTGAATCTTAAACTTCCTTTTTTTGGCTTATTTGGCTTTAGGTACTTGCATGAAGTGTGTTTGCCTTCGGTTGTTCATAGAAACTTAAAGTCGGCAAATATATTACTTGATGACGAGCTGAATCCTCACATTTCAGATTGTGGATTAGCTTCTCTGGCACCAAACACCGAACGACAGGTAAATAAAAAACTGGTAAATTCTATACATCAGGCAAATAAATCAAACGGGTAAAAAATTTTCATGATAACGATGACAGGTGTCGTCGACCCAGATGATAGGCTCGTTCGGTTACAGTGCACCTGAATTCGCCTTGTCCGGAATATATACTGTGAAAAGTGATGTGTACAGCTTTGGTGTTGTTATGCTCGAGCTTCTGACCGGACGAAAGCCTCTAGATAGGTAACTAAACTAAATCTCATTAATTTCACACGATCATAAATATTTTTTTCAAAATTTTCACATTTTTTTTTCTGGTGTTGGAAATTTACATGACAAATGTTCAGTTCAAGGGCGAGATCCGAACAGTCACTCGTGAGATGGGCAACTCCCCAACTACATGATATCGATGCTTTAGCAAAGATGGTGGACCCCACCCTAAATGGCATGTACCCTGCAAAGTCGTTGAGCCGATTTGCTGACATCATCGCTATTTGTGTCCAGGTAATGTTCTATTACATATAGGGCTACAATCGCACCGAGCGGCTCGCGAGCGCTCGAGTCAAAGCTCGGCTCGAGCTTGAGTTTAACCGAACTCGAGCGGCTCGAGCAGATCTTGAGCATAGGTTTCGGAATGTCTAGCCGCTCGCGAGCAGCTTGAGATATGTAGTGAATTACTAAAATACCCCTTATATATAAATATTATGATATTTTATGTATGCATTTGATGGTAATTTTACTTGAAATTTGAGTTGAACACGAGCCGAGCTCGAGCAATCTTTCGAGCATTGATTTCAATCGATCTCGAGCCGAGCTTGAACGATTGTCTTCTTTTGTCGAGTCGATCTCGAGCGTCATAAATCGAGCTCAAGCAGAAAAAAAAAATATCAATCTTGCTTGATAAGGCCAATGCTCGACTCGGCTCGGTTCGTTTGCAGCCCTAATTACAGTTTTGTTCCTTGTTATGCAACATCTTTTTTATTTTATTTTTTTTCGGGTATTTTCTATAATTCTTTCGAAATGTAATGAAACCGAAAACTATAATGTGACCCTCGTACGATGATTATTAAGAACTGGTTGTAATAAATATTTTTTGTAATGCACAGCCCGAACCCGAATTTCGACCCCCTATGTCGGAGGTAGTACAAGCGCTTGTCCGATTAATGCAGAGGGCAAGCATTGTGAAAAGACGATCCAGTGAGGAATCGGGTTTCGGATTCAGAACTCCGGACCCTGAACCAAGTGACGAGTTATGACACTACTCGTCAGGCTAAGCTTGTAATAAACGTACGCCTTTTGACATTTTTGGGGACTCCAAGGTTGGCCGAAAGCCGAAAGGTGTGAGATTTTCCGATTGATAAATGAGAAATGCCAAAAAAAAAATGTAAGTATTTTGATCACGGTTCATGAGAGACTCACTTCTTTATGTGTTTGTTTGTTGTATACAGTTTCTTGGACTGGCAATTGTTTTATTTATTTATTTCCATATGTGAAACAATTTTTTTAACTAAAGACAAATTAGGGAAAGAAAATGGAATTGGATGATTGTTTGACCAAGTTTCTAGTTCAATAATGTTATTGAAGGATTTTAAATTCTTCTAATATGTACATAACGATATCTTTTCTGTGTCCCTTGTACTCAAATGAAGATATATGATTCAATTTTTTTTCTCGTTGAACTCTGAAGTTTCATGTCCCTGACTTAATTTGAACAGTAAATCAATACGCACAAATATAATGGTTTCATCTGGTAATAGTAATCTTAAAAAACCCAGAGTCGAGCATTATATTATACATTCATCAAGAATCACATTAAATTTGAAAGACTTTCTCTTACTAATAGAATCACAGATCACAGTATGTTGATTCTGTTCTGTACAACACGCAATAAGATTGTTCGATTTTCTGCAATTCACGGCTAAGGATGGTAAGCTAAGGATCAAGCTGTAGCCTTAGCAAAAAACAAAGTGGTCCAACTGTTATATTATACGCTAACACTAACTCGTCAGATTTTGATTTAAAAATATTAAGAGAATGAAAAGTAACTCTCTGAGTCGCGCAAATTGTATGTTCTGGCCTGTTATGTTATTCACATTCGACGAAACACAAGGAGCTCCCCATATCCAATTCTGCAGTTTAAGAAGCCGAAGAAAAGCAGCCAGGCAAAGTACACTAGTCGGTCGATAGAAAAAAATAGCTGCTTTTGCATGATTTTGAAGAGGAAGAAAATTATAACGAGCTTCCCCAGATTTTCTTAATCTAACTATAACTTTAACAGTGTTCACATTCTTAGGCAATCTTATTTCGCATTCTCGAAAAAACAAGAAACAAAGAATAAACAAAACCTGAGAAGAAACAGAATGCTATTCACATACCAGTCTTTGCACATTCTTCACATTGTATCAACATCAGATCATCTGGATTATAAGGCACCAAAACCAAAAGTGGGTTTTGTAATTATCTTTAAACACTCGAGGGGACAAAAAATAAAAAAAAATAAAATAAAAAAGTCAGAATCTCATTTGTTTCCCTCCTGGCTTGCGAGTCCGCTCGTCTTTCCATCACCTGAAACCACTCGTTCTTTGCTTGCTAATTCATTCCTAGAGTCGAGCTTTTCGACCTGGAGAGCTTTCTTTAACTCGACACCATTTTCTCTTTCTTTCTTCACGTCTGACTGCTTCTTGGACTCAACAACAATTTTGTTGAAGGCTACTTCTAACTTATCGAGCCTCTCTTTTACTGCAAGAAGCTCGGGACTAGAAGCTGCCGCTGCTTTTTCCTCGGCGGCCTTGAGCTCCATCTCTTTTGCCTGTTTTTCGAACTCAGCTTGTTTCTTTTTCTCCAGTTCCTAATGACAAAAGTCCATAAGGTACCAGTGGAAAAAGCAAGACGATCAATTTTTGTTTTATAAATATATATAACGTGAATTGTGTAGACATTTCAAGAACTGATTACAATTTCTGCTGACATTATCCATTGTTTATAAGGAAGCTAACTCTCAATCAAATAGAGATAAATCGTTCAAGAACTAAAAGAACATTACTTGAAAATTTAAAATGGGCAAACCAATTTCGAATCTGTATATTTTGCATTAAATTTCATAAAACTGTGTCGTCTCTTTGTCAGTTAACATTCCTCTATTCTGCTTCTTGCCTTTTAAGGATATCTAGCAAACACAAAACAGTGCCGAAATATCATGGCATTTTACATTAATTTCAGAAAAATTGCAAATTCTCACATTTTACCATGAAGAAAGTAGAAAGCTAAACACAGATTGGTAAACTTACCGCATCCATTTTTCTCATCTCACTGCGTGCATATTGCGCGACAAGATACACAGCTGGCGAAAAAACACGCAAGAATTTCAAAAAGAGGTCTTGAATCACAAATCAAGCTTGAACCCAATTAAAACTTGGAACATAAATGAATAAAGGTAAATCTTTTCCAGCTGAATAAATAAATAAACAAGAGCGTACCCAATGATGGCAGGCATACAAAGAAGAGCTGCACCAGGTGAAAATCCAACCTAAAACAAACATTCAATTAACTGAGGAAACACTCATTAAATGTAGTCTATAAACTGTTCGAAGAAATGCCTGACAGGCAAAACAGAAAAGATACCCAAATTTCTTCTTCTTGGGAGGTTCGGAGAACAAAATTTTCGCGGCCGTCATGAAATCGAGGTTCTGGAGAGCTTTGTACTGATCGCTGTAACTAGCCAAAGAAGACCCATTGCCGCTGCTGCTGCCATTGCTGTTGTTAACGGCGGTGGCGGCGGGTTTGCCGTTGTGGGCGGACGAGCAAAATGGTCGAATCAGGTAAGGTCTGAAGCGACTCGGATTGAAGAATTTGAGATTTTTTCTCATTTTTCCTTGGTCCTCTTTTTTCAATTTAAGAAAAAATAAGTGATACTTCGCTGCAAAACAACCAGTACAGAGGTTACGGCTAACACAATTTAATACACAGCATTGAAGCCCAATTTTATTAGCCCAATAAGGTATAGGCCCTGTATTAGGCCTACAGTTCATTATAAATCTGTAAAACGTTGGACTGCGATTGTGATCATTTAACAAATCCAATTTGTAGTTTTGTACAGCACAACATAATTAATGGTTAACTAGACTAATTAAAGTTTAGACCAACTAAAATCAAAGTTATCATTTAAATTACTTACAACATAGTTTGTGTTAATATCTTATAACAGTCCCAATGAAAGATAATATTAGTAAGGTACGCTTATGAATCAATGTAGCCTTTTATAAGTGTGTTTGGTAAATAACTTCTTATTTATTTAGATAGCTTCCATGTATTCTAATATGTTTGATTTGGCAAGAAGAGTTGTTANAAAAAAAAAAGAAAAAAAACAGATTGAAATTTTCGTTTCAATTTAATTAATTATCAGCTACCCGAGTTATATTAGCTAGTTTTTCGGTTATCAATCACATGTTTTAAATTTACCTATAAGTTATAAGTTAGGTCTATCAAACCTAGTCTCAGTCTACGTACTACTATTATAGCAACACACAAACAACACTGTACTAATTATACAATTTACCAAAATAAATAAAAAATAAATAGTTGATATACAATATTTATAATGTTAATATATAATTAGAGCTGTTAAATGAATTTAATCGCTTATGGGCTCCGTTCGGCTTGTTTAACCCAAGGTCGACATGTCTCCTTAAGTCTTATTAAGCTCGATAAATCGAAATTTATGTAATTTCTTGCACTAGTAATGCAACTCGATTCATTAACACCCAAAAATTGGGTAATTAATTTTGATACATTAATCGAGCTTGAGTTAGTTAATATTAGTTCAATTAGTTGCTTAGCTCAATAAAAGTCAAGCCCATGCTTGAGTACGATGAGCTCGAACTCTGCTCTTCTCGGCTTTGCTCATTTACAATTGAATATTTAACTAGTACAACACTCATGTATTACGTGGGTGGGGACGGTGTCTCATCCCAGACCGTTTATGGATCGATTCATAAAAGTGGGATGGGTATTCGGACAAGTCAAATCCAGGACCGTCCCGGACTGCGTCCACCCCTACCATAAATAATTAACATATTTATAGATAATTCGAACCTAAATAGTTTTGGATTAGAAGTAAATTAAATTATCTAAGCCTAATAACGAAGCATGTAATTTTGCCAAATAGGATACCGAAGCATGCGAGTCTACCACATAAGCTCAGCACGTTCTGGATTAATATATAAGGGGGATTACTAGAAAATCATAAACAAATGGTAAGATTAATTAAATCCATGACAAATATAACAACTATAAGTTAATGTATAAAGTTATAAAGGTTATACAATAAACTCAAAACCAAGCCGTTTTAAATTTAACATGTTTTTTTTATACAATATGATAATTATATAAGAAAAAACTCCTAACATATTTTATCTCATAAATATTTAATTAACCAACTTTGTAATTATGAATATTGAATAAAAAAAGTAACCAAAAACTTCACAGATCAAATATTCAGACAATCAGTTTTACTTTTTCTACAGAAGTTATAGTAGAAAAATATATAATTATTATTCACATCTAATAATTTCCCCTCTTCATGCATATATGATTGGTCACAAAAAGTGTGCATTTTATATTGTAGATCTATATGATTGAATCGTGGGCCAGAAGAACTAATGAGCCCAATGTCATGTGGGAAGTATTTGGAGCAAGACTAGAATAATGGAGCAGGCCTTGAGAAGTTTTAGAATTATTTAAAATATTGAGGAAGACTTGAGCAGAGAATAAAAAAAAGAATCCTATATTACTAGGGCATTGTTCGTTCTACTTTCGTCATGTTTTTCTTGTTTATTTTATGCTTATCTTTTCCTTCCTTAGGTATTTTTCTTTGGTTCTTAGTCCACTTTGAGTAGTTTCGTGCATTTCCCTTATTTTATTCGTTTTTGGTCTTTTTGTTCGTTTTCCCGGTTTTTCCGTATTTCTTGTCGGTGGTGATGTGCAGGATAGGTAGTGCGGTGCATGGCCATGTCAGGTTTACCATCTAGATGGATGAGTTGGGGTCGTATTGGAAAAGACGGGATTAAATTCCGAGTCCGGATGCGAGAACACGAACCCGAAAACATGCCGTGCAGAAACCCTTCACCGCAGCCGCGAGTTGCCCGAAAGTTCGTTTTTCTGGCCCGTGGATGTCGCGGCCTCGAGTAATGTCGCGGCCGTGAACTTTCCTTCGCCACGGCCGCGGAGGTTAGGTCGCGGCCGCGGAGGTCGCGACGGGCAGGATTTTTATTTCGGATTTTTGATCAGTTTTTCATTACGTTCTACTTAGGTTTTGAGTCTCTCTCGTACTTTTTCACCCCAGAACTCAGTTTTCTCTTATCTTTCACTTGGAATTGATCTTGGAATGTGAAAACACCAAGAGTAAGCTTTAGGATTTGGATTGTTCATTGCTTTTCGACATTGGATTCACTATTAATCGTAAGCATTTCTTTTCATTTTGTGTATGGATTTGATGGCTTGCTTAATTATGAATTGTTGTGTTGAATTGATAATGAGTAGCTAAACTCGTAAACTAGGGCTAGGGGATAATTGTTCCGGTTCAATTTCGTTTATGTGCATGTTGATTACTTAATCTATTCGAGTAGTGTTGAACCTAGGGTTGAATTGATTGATCGCCATTTTAATCCATTTAATCGATTCTTAGAACCGAAAGGGGAGGAATCGATCGATCTAGGCTCGTTTAGAATAGACTTGTTCGGAGACGTATTGTCTATGTGCTAATTGACTCGATAATTGTTCATTTATGCTTATTCTTTTGTTACGTGAGTTATTGAGAATGAATCTCTGAATGAGTGAGTTTTTCGTGTCCTTTGGCCGAGTGATCGATTGTTGTTTAATGTATTGAGAACCGGAAACGATTGTCCCCGACACCCTAGTCATTCTTATCATTCTTTGAATTGTGTTTTGGAGTGTGAAATTGGAATTGCTTATTTGAGTATCATTAGTTGTTAATCGCGTAGTTGATAATTAAAACCCAACCATTTGAATTAGAGTGTATAGGATTTGTTTTCTATTTTCGAGTGATTGAATAATCGTACAAAGTAATCCGGCTGACCTTCCTCGAGACAAGACCCGGTGTTCGAATCTTTCGATTCTGCCCCAACAACGGCGCCATTTTGTTGTAGTTTATTTTGCCGGAGCAGAATCGAAAATAGAAAGTTCTCTTCATTTATTTATTTTTATTTTTATTATAATTGTTTAGATTTTATTTATTTAATTAGGATCTTAGTTTTTAATCAAAACCTCCCTTTTTATTGTTTTTATAATTTCAATTAATACGAGAAAATTCACATTTTAATACACAATCCTCGTGGGATCGACCCTTACTCGCCTCTACTACTAGTTAGTAGAGGTTAGTCGAGAAAAAATATAAATTTTAATTTGCCGCATTGCGATGTGCGGTTAATATGTATTTATCAATTTGATAACCCTTTCATAAAACTTCATAATATGCTAGACTATTATCACTCTACATACATTCCCATAGTAATAAAAGTTTAGCTTGCTTTACCACTTGAGTTATGAACTTACATTACCATTATTTTGACTAATGTAACCAATTAATCAAATACAATTCAAATAATAAACAAGCACACCAATCACATGATTAGGCAACACAATCAATACAAAGAAAAACACAAATAAACCAATATATCAATCAACATTGCCCAAGGCAGTAACAAAAATTATAGCCCAATAAGTCAAATATTCAACATTGCTAATATTCATGTAATTAGCAGCCACACATACATAACTCAGCCAAGAACATCATCAAAGGCTAAGACAACACAACACAACACAACACAACACAACAAACAATAACAATACAATCTTAAAAATACATTAATTAAAACAACAACAGTTCAAGAACTTTTCTTGCACATTAACCATACATACCCAAATAAAACCAATTTTTCTAGTTTTT